GTAAAAAATGTAAATATTTAAATAAAAACTTTTTAAAAATAAATTCACTTGACTTTAACATTGCACTACTGGCCTAGTATCAAAATTACTTAAAGTCAACTCTAGAATAAATAACCGGAAAGCGGTTGAGTTTGCGAAACATAATGAAGATATGGTGGCCAAGAACGATATCAAGTAAAGAACTCAGGAGGCAAACTAACCAAACGTCTATTAATGTTAAAATTCAAAATCGATAATATAGGTGGATAGCCCCTACCGTACGCCTTAGGATTATGACGATATCCCGCACGTAGCGCTAACATGGAATCCCAGGGAACCCGGCTTAGAGGCAGGACATCTACCTCAACCAACCTCTCTATTTTAGCATTCCAGGTCTGTTATATAATATTGATCTTTTAGACCTTCATTCTGTTGTCAAAAATGTCTCAAAAAGAGTATAATTTTATCACTTTCGTTTAACTTTGGAATATTATGACATTTTGTAATATTTCTATTAATGATCTATTGCGACACAGCTTTATTTAATAAATTTTAAATTTTTCTTCATTTACTCTAAATTAAAGTTTTTTCATCCAAAACTCTCTATAAAGGTTTAAGATGAATGAAGGCAAACGGCTTACTATATTTGAAATGTAGATGAAAATGAAGAAAATTGTAAATGCCTTAAAATGTTATTTACATTTTATTTATATAAATAACTAAAAATTTAGTTATTTTATATAAATTAATCTTTTCATAAACAATTAATTGTATATCTAGTCAAGTAGGTTACAACAATTTTAACATCTTATTACTTCCGCACTAGGTTCAATATCAGTGACAATGTCTGGTTATTTAGGATGTTGATTTTTATCGAACTGCCTCAATTTACAGCTTATCATTGTACATGGATATGATTTTTTTTAAAAAGTTAAGAGTTATATGATGGAAACTTGCTTTCAAAAACATTTCCTACACTCCTACATTTAAAAAGTATGCAGTTAAAAAAGTGGAAGCACAACTCATTTTCAATAAATATACATATATGTACGATCCTTTGGGTGCTGCGAAAAAATGTGGATAAGTATGTCAATTACTAACATTAAAGCCGGTGATTTATTAAAAAATTAAGACCTGTTTCTTTTTGACTTTCAAAAACTGAAGATTAATTTAAGTAGAGAAAAGTTTATTTTGTTATACAATAAATTTAACGTATCAATAAAAAATTCTTATATACTTAACCTTTTTTTATAATAAACAGAAATGTTATCCTTTTATATTAAAGAAAAAAGGGGGACTGTAACCATTACAACACTCCTCAGAGTTGCTGATTTCCGAATATTTTCCATAGGGTTTGTAAGAGAGAATACTTATAGGTAAACATTTAGATTACTTACGCCTTTTGGACTTATTAGAATAAGGTGTACAAAGTGAAATGTTCAACAAATGATTTTCTCACTATTAATAAAGCAACAGCTCTATCAAAACTTTAGTAAGATGGCACACCATCTGTAAATGAACTTAATTAAATAAGGTAGTATATTCTTAGTGCTTGCACTTATAATCATAACTTACATTATTACTAATAAATGTTCACTTAGTACAAAAATATTGATCCAAAGGACATGGGCAGACAGTTTATAGGATGTAACCAAATCGTAGGTAATCCCTCCGCTCCTATACCATCCAAATCAGTTTTGAAAGTCACTGTTATGCAGCTATTGCATTAAATTTCTGAATTTCCTAAGGTTTTCAGCTACATTTTTAGTGTACATAGTTAAAATAAGATGATAAGTAATAAGAACTCATTTATATTTTATTTCAGGACACCGAACCGGACCCGGAACCGAACCGAAAATCGAAAACCGGAAAAAACCGATATTTTTGCTGGAACGAAAACCGGAACCGAACCGAAAAAAATATATCGGTTTATTTCGGTGCAGCACCATATAGTTTGGTATCTGAGCATCTCTTTCTTCAGTTGTTGAATTTTTATTTATTTATTTTTTTGAAACATACTTCAAATTGACTAAAACTTATTACCATTAATGGGTGTTCCTTTCAAATGTTGGGGTATTCAGGATTCAAAAGAATAATGGACCCAATAGTGGCTGCTATAGGCAGTAATTTTTTAATTAATGCCGAAAATATTAAATTGTTAATACCTGAGACGGCTTCTAAAATTATAACTAAAATACGTACAGTTTTAGATAAAAAAATGATTTCTTTGACATAGTTGCTCGACTGAACAAATCAATTTTGCGAAGCAATGCACAGTTGGTAGTAGACGGTAAAATAAATTTGTTTACGTTGGGAATGATGAAATTGAAAAGTAAACATACAGAAATTTATGTAAAAACATGGTCGAAAAAGTCATAGAAAAATATATAAAATTGATGCCCAGCAAATCTATTCGATTACTACAGATAATAGAGCGAATAGATAAAGCGAAGAAGAATATTTCGTTATTGAAGCTGAATGTGAATCTAATGATGACTAAGATGATAGCATGATTTTCGGAAATAACTTTGATTTTAATATTGACACGAAATAAATAAAGATATTAATATCTCTTAATTAATTAATTAATTAATTAATTAATTGCCGGAACGAAAAACGGAACCGAACCGATATATTTTCTTTCTTTTGAATCGGAACGGAAAAAATTTCGGTTCGATGCCCTGTTTTATTTATAGTTAAAATAGACCTCTGTAATAGTATGGTGGGTGTTTAGGGTCTATTAAGATCTGATCTCAAAAAACACTTAATATATTAAAAAATTTCTTAATTGCTCTATCCCAGGAATAGGGTTTTAAATTCTGAAGCACCGATGTAATTCGCAAAACTGTTTACTGTAAAATCTGCATTGAGATCTTACTCTATTTGATATCGATAGGAACAAATAGGTCTGTGTGTTCCTTATACCAGTAAGATACAGCTAACCTATACTTTAGTTAAAGTAAAGTATAATGAAAGTCTTTGTTTTATGTGTTGATGCAAATACTACTTTGAGTATCAGCAAATTGTAGCTACGGTATGCTAACCAAAAAACTCTTCTACTTCGATGCATCATCAATCAATCGACTTAAAACGCTGTTACTAATGTGTATCTTTGATTTTCCGTCTTTTTTTCATTAAATCAATGTAAAATTTTTAAGAGTTTAATACAATGCATGTATATGATTCAGCGTTTGACAAATCAATATGTAATTAATTTCGTTGATCAGAACTCAGAAAATTTCAGCGACTCTGATGGCTACGTCTCTGCGTAGTGACCAATATTATACAATGGGACTCTCTTTGAATACAGTGTTCATTTTTTGTGAATATAACTATGTCACTATCACTACAAACACGCCGCTAAATACAAATTAAGTGACACCACTACGTTTATGACTTAAAACTCAAACAGCCCCTTTAATCCCAGCTAAACACATATGCGTGTCCAGATTTCAAATTAACGAAGAGTGTTACACTTGATTGATTCAACTCTAGAAAATCTAGCTTACTATTCTCACAATTCAATTATCAGAATATTTTTGTCAACAAAATAATCTCGATTAATACTGGTATTTATTAACACTTACCATTACCATTACGTCCGGATTCCAAATCAAAAACACACTGATTTAGAGTTGGATCAATTAGTGACACTGTAGTCAACTAGTGTGTACTTGATCCAGCTCTAGAAAATCCAGCTCAATATTAACAATCTACAATCTATTCTCTTTAGATGCCTATTCCACCAATCCATGCTTGCCGCTAAAAGTATGGTTTAATTTGTATTAGTAATCAAAAATGATCCAAAGCATTCACATGACCCCATAGAATATGGTGAAAGTTATTTGGGTAGCCTACAGTTAAACCAAGAAAGAACACAGTAGTTACACAATTTGACTTTCAAAATGGTTTAAGGTGTCCATGAAGTCATCTGGAGCAAACGATTCCCCGCATTCTTGATGACTTGATGAATAGTTTCTAACAAAAGTGTGATGAGGGAGATGCATGTCATGATTATTGGTGTGATATCCTTGTCAAATACATTAGATTTTCTATTATGTTCATATGATGTGCTATTATGTAACTATTTGTTTGTTATTCTTCCATTGTACATTCCCATGCAATCCAGTCATATTATAAAAAATGCTTACTACCATCGCTGGCTTTATTTTTGTAATTATTTGCTAGTCCATAAAGCGACGTACTATTTTTTTTGAGTAATAAATTAAATTTCATAAAATAACTTAAAACTGCAATTAAACGCATTACGAAATAGTCAATGGTGACTGCAACATAGCAGATGCCTCAGATACTTAATTGCAGAGGAAAGAGGAAAATCTTTTGCACACATAAGTATGGTTTATTGTCTATTAATCGGGTTTTCAATGTTTAATGAATTGCAATGGAAAACTTTGCGGCTGCGTTTGATAAATATCTGCTAAGTATATGCTGTGCATTATGAATGAGTAAACTAGGAATTAGAGATCATGCAGGTGACCAGTAATTCAGTTCAAAGCATGTTAAACACGTTTGACGTCAATTTAATGAGATATTTTATGCTCAACGTGGACTTGACCTTGCATTATTTTGTATGATTTGTTATGGAGTTTAGAATAAATTGAAAAAATTAATAAAAAACTACTTTCACAAATGCAGTTACGCGCCGTTGAGGTTGACAGATTTGTGGGCGTTGCATGTCAATTGTCACATACCATAAAGCAGGTTAATTAATTAAAATAATTTACCAAATAAACAACCAAGCAAACAAAGTTTGTTGTTCAACAAACAAGAACAAGTGACAAACAACCGATTGACTTTGAACAACGCCGATGAAAATGAAACTACACAGAAGGTCAAGACCAGGTGAGATAAGCAACTTAAAGCTAATAAAATATTGTCCAAAATAATGAAAGTACATGAAATATTGTTTCTTTTTATAAAAAATTATATAGGATTTTATTTAGCCAACAACAATTTTTTTATTGGTGGAAATTTAACAAGATTTATTAATTTTTACTAAATTGAGAACTTTTTTTGCGTGAGAATGCGTTTTAATTTAATATCAGTTTCAACAATTTCGAGAAGATCGGAATGAAGAAAATTGTCTTAAGGATGAGTAAGTCCGAAATTATTTTACAACAGCACCTCGAAATTCTGTGGCATAGAAAAGATTACACTACTGAAAGTTACTTGCAGTATGGGAAGTTGGGACATTGGTGTGGTGACACTCCGGCAGGGTATTGACGTTCACTCCAACCAGGCAATGGTGGTGCAGCTACTGGGGCTGAACCGCCGCCATTAATATTGCAGAATGGATAATTAGGGCAAGAGTGTGGGTTGACACCAGCTGGGAATTGACCAGAGCCAGCGTTTCCGCCACTAGGTGCTCCATTCCATGATTGTCCTCCATTGTTCCATGATGATTGTCCTCCATTGTTCCATGATGATTGTCCTCCATTATTCCATTGATCATTATTATTATTCCATTGATCATGTCCACCATTCCATTGACCATCATCATTATTATTATTCCATGATGATTGTCCATTATTCCATTGGCCATTGTTATTCCATTGTGATTGTCCGTTATTCCATGATGGCTGTGAGTTCCATGATGGTTGTGGTGCGCCCCAATTTGATTGAGGATTATGTAGTCTAGCATTATCACAGATAGGGAAGCCGGGACAGTCCTGTGGATTTACACCAGCGGGAAATTGTGCAGCAGGTGCATGTTGAGGTTTTGCGAAAGTTAACGCAATAACTGATAATAAACACTGTAGAAGATAAGGAATCCGATAATATTACAAACGTCGTTGGATTTATGTACTATTATTTTAGTTTATAAACATTTTCTATACTCACCAGTTTGAAGAACATTTTAAAAAATCCTATTATTTTATTGCAAGAATAAAAGGTGCTGTTGCTAATCCAACCTAATCGGACTATAAAACTTAAAATTTTAAACTTCCAATTGGCTTTTCGTACTGACACGAACGAACTGTTTATTTTGCGATTGAAGTTGACATTTTTATACTCCGACATAAGAATTTGCACTCATATGCTGCTTAGGTGATCTAAAACGTATCTTGTAAATTGTATCTTTACACTCCACACACATCGATGCAAATGTAATTGTTTGGGTTGGGTTGCGGTACAAACGTTAAGGGGATTCTTGTTGTTGCATGTTATTTGGAGACTGCGTTGACTGATCATATATATGATTGGTGCACAGATTACAAGAACTACTCCGGCTTTTGTGTTAGCCCACAACATATTTTTTCATATTCATACATTCTAACAACTACAAATAAGAGTACGTAGAATGAACTCAAATCAACTTCGCTTTCATTGATGTTGAAAAAAAAAAATTCACAAAACGGTAGCGCAACTCAAAAGTTGCGGTTTAGATTTGGTTTTTATAATTAGAAAAAAATAATTCAAAAACAAAAACATTTAGTAATACAACAGTTATTTCTAATAGTTCCTGTATTTATTTATTTAAATATTATAAGGAAATAAAAATATTTTAGAAGAAAGTCAATATTGTAAAGAGTTTAGTGATTTAGGCTTCACATTTTAAAGATTTTTTCAACATCATTTAAAACACAATCTAATTCAATATAAATAATTTTGCTAACCTATGCTATCTGCAGAAACGATTTAAAATTTTGTCATATAATAAATTGATAGCACTCTTCTTACTCGGTTAGATGAGAATTATCTTTAAAGAACAAAATATGTATAATCATAACTGCACTACAATCATCATTAAGTCAAGTAAAATGATCTGAAATATTTATTTTTCAAAACATACAGTTTCCTTATTCATGCAATTTGTCAACATATTAATGCTAATAGGTATTGGTATATTATTTGCTGAGCAGCTAAAATCATTGCCTATATATTCTAAACTAAACCCTGAGTATATCCACACATATAAGCTATTATCAATTATTGCAGGACCCTGGACTTTTGGAAAAAAACCAAGCTGAGCCTACCCACTAAACATCCTGTAGATCATGCTTATCAATTTTCGAGGAAGGTACACTAAAACACCTGCAGGGTCATTATTCAGATTTATCCAGTTCCAGACTTTAGTTTACGAGTGCCATTTGTCCTAATTCCTTCAGCGTTACATTTAATATTAAAATTTGTCAGATACTTTCAATCATCAATGCTTCAGTTAGATTCAGTATGCACAAGTTTCTACACATAATTTCAAGAAATATGAATTGAAAACGTTTCTTAGCTAATTGAGAAGGGTTCAACAACCCTTCCATTTCTTTTACATATCAACCCACGAGTGTCTCCTTTATTTTTAAAGGAGTTCAATAGTTTTCAGTACTTTAAATTTTATTTTTTATTAATCAATAAAAATTACAAAGATGTAAAGTGTTATTCATTTCATGATTCTTATGCGGTAGCACTTATTTTGTTCTTATATGGCATTATTTCAGTGCACTATGTCACACAAGTCATCTTAAGTTTAGTTTAAATATATCATATATAACTCCTCAATTTTACAAATTTTCTTCAGTAATATTGAATTTCACATCTAATGGTAAGGTTCTAATTACTTATATATTAGCTGTTTATTAGTTCTTCTAGTGTAGCAAAATACCTTAACTGTTGGTATTTTGATCTATTTTTATTCATTTAATAGCACTTATAAATGCAATTTCACAGGTCATGTGGATTCTACGATTAATATATAAGTCTGTCTGAACATAAAATGTCATATTGTTCCTCTGTATACTTTTATGTTTAGGTTGTTATTAGTCTTTTTGAATATAAGTAATCGAAATATGGCGTTAGTTAAAGAGTATTAAAACTCTTAAAGTTTGAGAGAAGAGAAGAATTAGTAATATGTATCTTAAGCTATCAGACTTGCAAGTCTTTGAATTTAAAGAAGTTTTGTATGAGTGTATGAGAGTGGAAGACTTTTGCAATCAACAAGACGAAAAGAAAATTGTGAACTATATACAATATTATCGTATTATCGTATCGTACATTATCGTATTCCCTAAATAGGAATAATCACTGTCACAGCTTCCACCAGCCAGACGAAAAATAATTATTTTTCATATCATTTATACATATTCTGTGCTTTAAAAAAAATGGAGAGAAGATACCCTAGGTAAACCAGCAGTCAATAATATCAGGGAGCTAGTTAAAGCCAACATTAACGATTAAACTGCACGATTTGGATTTAACCAAGCTATCTACAAGCAAGTAATTAAACAGTTGGACACGAGGACATAACATCAAACCGGTATGAAGAACCTTATTGCATTTTCACGGACTAAGTCACTACTTGAAACAACCAATCAACCAGACTAGCTCAAAATACTTAATACAATTATTGACATCACTTTAGTCTAGTAAATTGTCGGATGTATTTCTATCTTGACTATAGGGTATTTTGAGAACGGTAGAAACTTCTTGAATTGACCATATTGTTACTTTCGTGGCACATAATTTTAATAACAAATATAACTTTCATATTAATATTAATATTATATATATAATTTAAATTTATGAGTTTTATTTACACACATCATTTTACTCCTAGGACTCTACTTCCTAGAGTAGAGTCAATAAAGGAAAACATAGTGCTTTTATAAAATAAAATAAAGGTTTTGCCAGACTGAATATTGCAAGACGGAAGGAATACCATTAGGTGGAAACAAAATTTTGTTTACTTTTACAACTCATTTCATTATTGATGATATCATATGAAAAGTATAATCACAGACAACTTAAAGGTCAGTTGATTATAGTATAAGTTTATTCAACTACCGACCACTACTCAGCAAATATAGTACTCATACTATTAGGTTTCAAATATTTACTTTACTCCAGTATTCAAGCTATTTGTGAATCAGAACTTTTAATCAGAACTATTCTTATATCGATTTTCGTTTTGGTGCATTTGAAAATATATATTGGTTTATAGTATTTTTCGCTCCTGCACAAATTGGGTTTTTTTGGTTCATCGTCTAGTTCTCTTTGGAACTATTCATGCTTACCGAAAATTTGAAATATTTGAATACGAACAGTAGTAAGTAGTGTCCCGCTGACCTGACAAATGAGTATTAGATTGATAAGATGAAATTTTGATACTTATTTTTATAAAATGTATGTATGAAATGTATTATGTTTTTAATAAATATTTATATTTTTAATTAATTTCTTATTTTAAGTACTTTAACTTAGATTGCAGGTCAAAAATATCTTTGCATGTTTAATTGGACTTAAATGCTGGATTTAATAAATTTTAAATAATTATGATAACACCATTGCCAATTAAATAAGTATAAAATTCAATAATTTATAATCTAAAGTATAATCATAAATTCATAATCTAAAATCTAGTTTTAATCTAAAATGACTGTCATGAGTAATAGTTTTAATCTTTCATTAATATAACCTAACATACTCGTTTATTGCCTTAATTATTGTAATAACTTTATTATGTTTATGCTAGGCATACGAAAACTGAATCACTTATTGATTACTTAACCAGAAATTTAAATTCCATTAGTTTAATATCATCTCTTAAAATTCAATTTTGAAAAACTGTTATGCACTCATACCATATTTTATCCAACGAGGCCATAACAATTATAAAACGGCCATTATAAAATCAGTACGTGTGCTTAAATAAATAATTTTTTAGTTTTTATTTTTATTTTCATTTTTATTTTGAGCAAATTTGCTATATTTAGTAATTTATATTATTTGTATTTAAATATAAGTAAATCTTTATAAAACAATTTGTAAGCGAGCAACCTCACCTTCTTGTACAATCGACACACGTTAGCTATTGCAATGAACCTACCTATTTACCGGAAGGTAAACGTTTGCATTTAAATTCTTGACCAGTTCTTTGATGCGAACTTGCACCAGTTTCAGGCTTTCAATCAAAATATTTGCCCGTACACACTTGCCAATTCAGAGTTACACAGAGTTGCCTCAGTGCTCGCACAGCTAAGCACAGCTAAGCAGTTGTGGTCATAGATACTCAGATACTTAGATACTCAGATACTTATGTGCTCGTAAATGAACATTAATTACAAACTTCATATCTATTTTATTGATATTAGTGGAATACATTTCGAGGTAGTTACATATTTTAATTATCTTTTACTTTTATTTTATGCAAATATCTCTGAATATTTCTACTCGTAACTACGTAATAAAAAATAATTAGTTTTAAATAGTCTTGAAGAGTATGCGATGCTGATTGACTACATCTGCGTAATGACATAATTAGATAAAATGTTAGATTCATTGACTGACACAGCGGGACTTTAGTAATTTATTAACCATAAAATAGTGTGTAGGAAGAAAATCTATAAAATTTAAAATATTCCCAGATCGTGTGAAGAGCTAATAGCAGCTACTAATTCCAGATATTGCAATTTAATTAAAACTAGCAAAGTAAACTATATGTATTAATGTTCAAGGGGTACAAATAACATTCTAAATATTTTTTTGATACTTACAGACCTTATAAAACATTTTGGGTTAGATTAGATTATTACAGTGACATGGATCTAATTAGATCCTTTGGTCGATTATGCTGTCGTTTGAATCTTAGAGGATTTAAAATTATTTCAAACCATCAATTAAGACTAAGAAGACTAAGTTTCTAACAGATGATCTTAAATAAGATCTTTTATTTAAATCCTCCAAGATTCAAACCTTAGAATATTAAATTTCCAATAGGTGATCTTAAATAAGATCTTTTATTATTATTAGACTAGGTTACATTATATGGCTAATTGGCTTAGAAATTTTTAACTACTTTAAATCTCTGATAAAGCCTAAAATGCTGTTTATATTGATGTCTTGGAGCTCACCGAAGTGAGCCCCTAGCATAATTAATCGCTATCGCTTATACGCTGAACAGTAAGAAAGCATATGTGAGGTAATTTCTTCTTCCTGCCCACAACTACTATAGAATGGATTAAAAGGGTGTTGCATTCTTTTCAACTTTTCTGAGCCATCCAT